GATCATTTCAGTAAGTTCACATGGGTTTATTTTATGAAGCAAAAATCTGAAGTGCATGATATCTTCTTGCATTTTAAAAGCATGGCAGAGAAACAGTTTAATACATCACTCGAAGTCTTTCAAAGTGATTGGGGAGGAGAGTTCAGATCATTAACTACCTATTTGCAGCAAAATGTCATAATCCATAGAGTGTCTTCTCCACACACACCTGAGCAGAATGGTGTGGCAGAAAGGAAGCACAAGCACCTTATTGAAATGGGATTATCTCTACTGGCTCAATCACATCTTCCTACAAAGTTTTAGGATGATGCAGTAGCAGCAGCTTGTTACACCATCAACAGAGTACCAGCAAAGGGCCTTGACTACAAAAGTCCCCTTGAGAAGCTACACAAACACAAACCAAACTATAATAGCCTAAAGGTGTTTGGCTGTTTGTGTTTTCCTCATTTAAGGAGCTTCAACAGAAACAAGCTGGAAATGAGATCTCAACCTTCTACCTTTATTGGTTATACCAATTCTCACAAGGGCTACAAGGTCCTCCTGCCAAATGGGAAAGTAATGGTTTCTAGACATGTTATCTTCAATGAGAACATTTTTCCCTTTGAACAGACCTTTGGTCATAACACAAATGTTCAAAGGCCACCTTCATCAGAAATTGGTTGTCCTCCCTTAGTTCAAAGGGGCAGAAGATATAAAACTCAGCAACCAAGAGGAGGCCAAACTCCTACTGTCAACACTGAGTCTTCTTCATCAACAGGAGCTAGTACTTCAAGAAGCAATAGCACAGTTCCTATATGTGCACTTGCCTATTTCAGCACCAGGAACACCTCTCTCTACTTCCCCCTTATTGCCTCAAGAACATCAAAACAGACATCCTATGGTTACCAGGTTGAAAGCTGGTATCCTAAAACCAAGAGCCTTAATTGGAGTGGTTGAGGAAAAGGAACCAAGTAGTCTCCATGAAGCCTTAGAATCAGAAAATTGGAAAGAGGCTATGAAGAGTGAATATGTAGCACTCATGAAGAACAAGACATGGTTTTTAACTTCACCACCACAAGGAAAGAACATTGTTAGATGCAGATGGGTTTTCAAAATCAAAAGGGATGTTCATGGCAATGTCAGCAGATACAAAGCAAGGTTGGTTGCTCAGGGGTTCTCTCAGGCCAAAGTTTTTGATTTTCAAGAAACTTTCAGCCCATTTATTAAGCATACCACCATTAGAGTCTTTTTAACCATTACCACCACTTTAAATTGGAAAGTGAGGCAGCTTGAGATCAACAATGCCTTCCTTAATGGTGAGTTATCTGAGAGAATTTACATGCAACAACCTCCAGGTTTTGAACAGGAATCAGAAGTACCTTTGGTTTGCAAGCTCACCAAGTCCATATATGGGTTGAAACAGGCTTCAAGAGCTTGGTTTTTGAAGGTAAAATCCACACTCCAGAATCTTGGCTTCTCTTGCTCAAGGGCAGATAATTCATTGTTCTTCAGAATAACAAAGGCTGCAGCTATCTATCTTCTTATATATGTGGATGACATTTTAATCACTGGAAGTGATGAAAGAGAAGTGAACAAATTCATTAGTTTTCTGGGAAAGAATTTTTCACTTAAAGAAATGGGAGAACTCCACTATTTTCTTGGGATTGAGATTAAGAAGACTGAAGAAGAGATTTTTCTCAGTCAAAAGCAATATGCATATGATTTGCTTCACAAAGCTTCCATGACTGGTGCCAAGGGTATAGCCACTCCTATGGCTGCAACAACTCAACTCAGTAAATATGAAGGAAAAGAGAGCTGTAATGGAACTCTTTTTAGGAGCATAGTGGGAGGCTTACAGTATTTGACAATTTCCAGGCCAGACTTGGCTTACAGTGTCAACAAGATAAGTCAGTATATGTCAAATCCTTTAGACACTCACTGGAAGGCCATTAAAAGAATCTTGAGATATCTGACTGGTACTATTAACTATGGACTGAATATTTCAAAAGGCATGAACTTCAACTTGGTTGGTTTTTCAGACTCAGATTGGGGAGCTGATGTTGATGATAGGAGATCAACTACAGGTTTTTGCATGTTTTTAGGAGGAAATTTAATATCTTGGAGCTCAAGGAAGCAAGCCTCAGTTTCCAAATCTAGTGCCGAGGCAGAGTATAAGAGTCTATCCCATGCTTGTGCAGAAGCAATGTGGATTATCTCCTTACTTAGGGAGCTGAGGATTAAGGTATTACAAAGGCCATTGCTTTGGGTTGATAATCAGAGTGCAATAGCATTGGCTACAAACCCAGTTCTACATGCTCGTACCAAACATGTGGAGTTGGATTACCACTTTGTGAGAGAAAAGGTAGCAGCAAAGCTCATTGATGTAAATCATATTCCAAGTTCAGAACAAGTTGCAGATGTCTTGACTAAGCCTCTTGGTGTCCAATTCTTCTCAAGGTTGCGCGGTAAACTGAGAGTTTCTCCTTACCCCTTGCTCGAATTGAGGGGGGCTGATGAAATGCATAGTCACATGACCATTGACCAAACAAAGAATCAAGAGGGATGAGTTTGTTTTATGTCCACGTCTTGCATGCATGGGCCACAGTATATTTGCTTTTGAATTGCTTTGTCTTTTAGCTTTGGTCTTTAGGGCTTTAATCTCCATATATATATTGTACATTCAGCTCAACGGATTGTGTGTTAAGAATACAAATCTCAGATCTGATATTGTTCATATGAGCCGCCATGTACGGACGTCTTCTTCTTTGTGCTGTGACATGAAATTCTTCAGCATATCATTTGTTAAAATATTTGACAACAGAAGAATTAGAATTCCTTTATATGACGATACTTTTAGTCATTTGTAAAGTTTATTATTATGGAGTCATGATTAAAATATACATCATGTATACAAACTTTTAGATTTTTTAATTATTTAAAATTGAAAATAAATAATATATGATCATTATTATGAGAACTAATTTCTTACAGAGTCCATATATTTAAACGCTAGCAACAAAAAAGTAGTAATTTTAATAGACTTTTTGTTTGTAAATATTGGTATTCATACTTTTCTAAGAAAATTAGCATGTTTTTTTTTCTCACTGCATTACTATTATATTATTTGTTTCTTATTCTATAGACAAATAATATTTTATTTGCTAAGTAACTAAAGCACATTTATACGTATTATGTTATTTTTTGTATGTGTTTTATATAATGATGGTATCAAATTATCTTATTTATTAGGCCACAATTAATATAATCACATAAGATTAAATGTAATTTAATATATTTGATAAAATTGTACTTTTTATATGAATTATTAGATTAAAAAGTTTTAGAATTTTTTTCAATTTTTGATAAAATATTAATTAACTAAGTCATTTTCATAATCACTGAGTACATATATGGTATCACCATTATAGGGTTCATTTTGCAGCAGTAATTGACTTCACATAGCTAATGTTATTTCATTTCTTTTTTCTGGCCTAGCCTTTCCTTTCATCTATGACTTCACATTGCTTCGTTTCGTTTGTACCCTAAGGTGCATTTGCCATAGTTTCAGCATTATAACAAACTCGTCAAACATATATCGGATTTGGGCGCTCTAGCCAAAACGTGGAAACAAGTAGAAGTTTACACCCATTTTTTTATTTATTTTTTTAATATGAATTGTTTCAAATTTATGTATGGAAAACATACTACAAATTTATCTTATGTTATTTTATACTTAATAAAATTGATTTAACTTGAATATAAAATTTATTATATTATATAATTTAAGACTAATTTATTATTTTAAATTAGTACTGATATATATATATATA